TTTTTTTTTATTTTTTTTTTTCATATCTGTTCATCATATTTTAATGTTAGTTACATAATTCTGACTTAAATTGTAAAATTAACTAATTAGGGTCTGAATGTACCAGATTTTCGTAGGAATTGGAAACACCTCAAATTTACGACTTCACACTTCTGGAAGTTCCAGTGGAAAATTAACCATTCACCATTTACGATCCAGTTTTTAATGCAATTGGAAACAGAACCTAGTATACAAAAACTGTCAACTCAACAAGAACATGAATTTCGAAGTGTTGCTAATTGAAGTGCTTAGCCTTGCGTTTTTTCCGAGTTTTTTCTATTGATACAAGCACAACGGTTGACTTGAGTTCAAACAATTTAAGCGTTCTGTATAATATTTATTTTAAGTGTGTAGTTACTGGAACTTTTCCCGTTTATTGCCAGACATAAATTTGTTCTCATTTATATCCGAAAAATAAACAACAAGAAACTGTTTCTGAGTTTGCCCTCATACATTTTCAATCTGCACTTATTGCTTTTACCTACAGATACGTACTACCTACCTAAGTACCTACTCAATGCGCGACGACTAAATTACCGTATTTCATTTTACAATCTTTGCATACAAGAAAGGTTCGTTGTTCCACTTTTCAATCATGAAAGGTAGGTATGTTGACGAATAATGATCGATATAAGTCATTACCACGTTATGCATCGTGCCACACACAAATTTGAGGGCCCGTGAAGTAGTAGTGTCGACTTAAAGGGAATTAAGTCCCAAGTATCTCATAATTTTGTGATCATTTTGCGCAGTTTGTGCTGCTAATTTAAAATTTTGTGCTGTAGTAACAGTAAACCAGATAAGCGCCACTTAGTCTTTAGTAAATTTCAAAAGAGAAAAGAGAATACTCATACCTAAAGGGGAAACAAGGCAGACCAAGAGATCCATGTCCTGGTCTTGATAAGCTAAAGAAAGAAAATAATTGACAGGGATAGAACATAAACGAGAATTATTGTCACAATCGAGGGTAGTTTAATAAATGATCTCAAAATATTACAAATACGACACTGTAATATTTATATCTGAAATGTCAATGCCACTTTTTAGCAAAAAAGGGGATCAATTCGTGAACTGAAAAATTATTAAAACAGGCTTCCGCAGAAAATAACGAAGCTACAATGGTTAAATGACTATTCAAACTAATAATGTGGTAATTACAATTCGATTGTATCGAAAACCAGTATGTAATCAAAGGTTATATTAAGGAGTCATCGAAAAATAAAACCACAGCTGGTAACGACCTTTTCGAGATCAGAAAGGCACTGTTTTGCCTTATCTGTAGCAAACGAACCATGTAACGGAAACTTGTTGAATATTTTAAGTTTTAGTAGATTTCAAATTATATTTGGGTAGAAGTGCGTATGGAAAGATTTTAGTCGAGGATATAAATTTCTGTAGATATTCGCGCGGAGCGTGTGTCGCTGCGGAGCACGCGGCTCTGGACCACCGAATTAATAAGAGGTCCATAGTAGATAGAATTTGTCGGGTATTTTGATTTTGAGATCCTTTCTTTTGAAGTGTTTCTGGAATAGTGAATCGGCGTTCGGGAGTTATTCAGCATTAAAAGAATCCCTGCGAGTAAAGAATTGCGTTCCAGCTTAATGTGCGCATGAAAGACTTCCGTTGACCAAATAATTATTTTGTTTTGATTTGAATTGTGCGGATACAAAATTCCTTTTTAAATCTAATTTTAGGTTCAGGAGACAATTTTAATCCGAGACAGTTTTTCTTTGCATTGAATTACGCGTGTGGGAGAACGAAAAGAAGATTACGACCTCTAGCGGGGAACTAAAGCACTAAGGTAATAACAAGTCTACTGTAGAAATAATAATCCTGGTTTTTCCAAAAAAAGGTATTATTGAACGTGCATGCGACTTGGAAGATTATCTCCAATGCATTCAAATCTATACACTGGATACTCAATTATGACGAATGGAACACAGATACCTTGAACCATTTAGGCGGAGAATAGTGAAGCTTTAAGGGATAAAATCAACTGTTTACAAATATAGAAATGCGTATGCAGTGGAATGTTTCAGTATAAATTAAAGTAATTAAACGAAACATATTTACATTATGCATTTACAAGCTACCCAAAATGAAACTCATTTATTCCTCCGATAATAATTACAAATACATTAAACATTCTTGCGCGGAAAAATTCGCATGCATAGGTAGCTTTAATTAAATTCCATTTCATTCTACTTTTTGTGGTATAACATGAGGGGGTTATATTTGAACTGCATAGCTCGTTTCATTTTATAGATATAGGTGTTGCAAAAGTATTTTATTAAATTCTCTTAATTTGTAAGCACCAACTTGTAAAAATATGGTAAATAACGCAAACTGAACAAGCAATATAGCTACCTATGTTATTACAAAACAGGTAACATATACAGCAACAGTAACAGGAATCTAAAATAAATTGCAAAAGGAGAGTATTAAAAAAGCTGTAACGTGAAATTGGGACAAAGCGCGTATATAAGGGAGAAATTGATAGAGAAAAATGCCGGAGAAAGAAAGAGGAGAGAGAACAGAAAAAAGTACCAATGGAAATGTAAAGAAAAAGTATGGAGTAACACAAAGAATACGAAGAACAAATCAAGAAACTATAAAAACAGAAAAGGATTTTTGGAAGATGATAAACAGCAGAAAAAAGAAAAAGTAGGAAGAAGGTACAATTATAAGACTGGAAACAACATTTTGCGAAGTTACTACAAGGGAAGCAAGGGAAGGAGGAGGCTATGGCAGAGGTAGGAGGTCAGCAATTAAAACGACTGAAAAAGGGAAAGCGGCAAGGAGAGACGAGATAGGTAATGAGGCGTGGATTTTCGCCACAGATAGGCACAAGGAAATCTAGAAAACTAGATATGGAAAGGGTGGGTTTACCCCAAGAGTGAAAGGAAGAAGATTGTGCTGATCTTCAAAAAAGAGAGAGCAAAGATGGTGTGGGAAATTATAGGGGAAGTACCTTAATGAGAAACACAAATAGACTTCAGAAAAGGGAGGGTAACGATCGACTGCACAAATATGTATTACACACATTGGTGGAAAAGGAATTGGAAAAAAGGGCGGAAACGTGTTCGCTTTTTTCATGAACTTGAAGGCGACGAAACGTTGAGTGGAACGAGATAAAAAATGGAAGATCTGAAAAGTCACAGATGATGATACTTGGAAAGGGGGTGGAAAAAAAGGAAAACGGGATAGAAAAGGTAAAGAAAATTAAATATTAAGGTCTGGAGCAAATGCGCAAATAAGAGAATTAAGGAAAAAGGGGGTGGTGGTGATGGAATATGTGTGATGAATAAGAGGGAGGGTTGATGAATGACTGTACAACAAAAAAGTACCTATTCGATGCAGTGGTGAGAGGCGCACTCTTGTACGGAACGAAGATATGGAGATGGAAGGAAATGGGAGGAACTGAAGATATTATAAATGGGACCAACTGTCACTGAGGACCTTGCAAAATCTCATATTTACTGCATTTTTTCGCGAAAACCTATAAGGACGATTCGCGTTATACCTTGATATTTCTTTAAACGAACCGCATTCAACATATTGTGCTCTCGAGAGCTCGTAACAGAATTGAACGTGACTTCCCGCTCGATGGCTGAACAAATAATTTCCTCAAAATTACTATATTTTGAACCGCACCGTTGACGTTCCTATGTCCCAAAACCGAACGCATGCACGTTATTCTTCCCTGACGAATCCCAATTTTTAATTAATCAACTCCCTAAAATGGCATTTTATTAATTAAATCGGCCATTTTGAATCAAGAATTAATCTAATCCTCATTTCTTTTAACGAATTACAGGAGAGCTAGTGTCATAACTCAAAATCTAACGCAATATCGCTTTTTCCCTGCGTATTTTCTACATCTGCAGTTTTGGTCACGTACACTAAACTCCGATAATACAAGCCTTTCTAAATATCGGACAGACTGGCTCCAAGACTTTCAAAACTCGTTTCCAGTTCAAAAATGTATATGGAACTCATTGACACGAAACTATAGATAGCCGATTTTACGGAGAACTTAAGAAAGCCTAATTTTGCAGTGATCAATTACAAACTTGAACTTAAATCTACCAGGAAAGGTCCTTTCCTAAAGGATTTGTGGCAAACAAGGGGCACCCTGTTCTGCTTATACATTTTTAATGTCGTTACTGAATCGCAATAAATTTAAACTAAGAGTTTATCAGAAAAATTCCACTGCGAATCTGTGTGTAGCAGCTCTTTCTTCTGGCGAATTTAGAAGCATTACTAAGCGCCATTTTGTGAAGTGTTAATTAATTGGAAAAAATAGGTAGGGATTAATCCGGAGAAGATCTTAGAGAAATTCTCTTTTCAACTACAATTTAGTTAACCACGCCTTCCGCTACGAAAATAATCGTTCTGGTTTAGCCAGGATGAAAGACTATGCTTTTGACCTTTAGAGTCAAATTTTCCGGCAACTTTTCCGCGAGTTTCGCGACTAATAAATAAATAAAATAAAATAAAATAAAATAAAATAAAGAAAATAAAATAAAATAAAATAAAATAAAATAAAATAAAATAAAATAAAATAAAATAAAATAAAATAAAATAAAATAAAATAAAATAAAATAAAATAAAGTAAAATAAAATAAAATATCCGTCGCGACGGTCCAATTTGCAGTTCCCATTGTCCAATACTGTCTGCAAGGAAGACCGTACCGAGTCTGTTTGGTATGAAAATCATCGTCTGCCTGAGTACGCTTTGATATGAGGTACAGTGATTTTAATGTATGTAAAATTAAGTTGAAGAGAAACTTCACTAAGCTTAAAAATAAGCAATTGGCGTACAGTTATTGTTAGGGCAGTGTCAAAGAATTGGCAGTTCCTCATTTAACTTCCGCGATAATGAAAGAAATGGAGATAATCACAAAAAAACAAAGATATGAGGAGCTATATTTGTAGTACTACAATACATACGAGTATTTTAATTCATCCTTGCTTTAACACAGTAGTAATATCTAGTACAATTTTCGCATCGTGAGCAGATAAATTACACAAACTAGAATCATTAAATTCCCAGCGCATCGAAACTTGATTCCACACCCTGTCCACACTTAAACCCATCGGTATGTGGAAGAAACTAGTCCAGTCTGGTTGCCATTCTCCAGTTAGTAGCTGTACGTGATATAAAGATATTAAAAAAAAAAGTATTTATACCTGATCAAATGGCCGATAGCCCACATGAAACATAGTGTGCAACAACTTGTTGCTCGGCGGATTGGTGTGGTTCGGTTCAAATGGCGTTGTCTGCTCACTCACATTAAGGCGTTGGAGTAACCATTCGGAATTGCCCAACAAGAAACTATGAATAACCTGGAAAGAGAGGAAAGGTCAGGCAACATTCTGCAGCGATGACTATTTACACCTTTAGACCTTTTTTTCCCTCAGTGGTCATCAACAAATCGCTCACAAGGGCCTCGCACATCTGCACACTCTGTTCAACTCTCTTGCAACCTTCGCACTGTTCGTTGTATTCCAATGCTTCTTTTGCCTGTTTCAATAGCTCTTCTATTTCAGCTGTATGTTTATCATCTTCATCGATACTACAAAGCGCTTCTGCAACTGCTAGCGCAACCGCTTCAGAGGAGCTATTCATTCCGTCAAAACTACACACCGAGTTTTTATGTTCTAACGACTTTGAAACACTAGCCTCGTCTCCAGCAAATGTTACACTCTTCCTGTTTCCTTCCGATTTATAAATGAGCTCTTTGTATAACGCACTAACTAAAATTTGTATTAAAGCAGATCTTCCAAGCGGCGTGACATCCGCCGGAAGAATGTCTTGCATTAAAAACGCAATCCTAGGAATAGCATCGTGAATCGAATCCCACAGCTGCATAAAGCAGGCAAGGACAATAGTCATCGCCTGATACATACTAGCGCCTGTTTGTACCGCTGAAATAACAGTCGACGTAATTGGCTCAAGAAATGGTTTCACAAAGCTTAGAATTGCGCTGTACCAAGCAGGGTAGTTGAGGTTCCAAACCTAGGGCTACAGCCTAAAGAAAACTGCTAACCCAAGTTTAAAAAATACCTCACGCCTGTCCATACATTGAGCCCAGCCTTTATTGGTGTCGATCGTCGATATTAACAACTCCGTAAACTCTGTGTTATTACCCACGGTCAAAATTACACTGGTTAGGGCGACAGAAAGATCATAGTAATAATCAGGATCGCAGACGACAGCATTGGAATAAGTAGTCTTGCAGCTATCGTCACCAAGACACAAAAAACCATCGCATTCTACACTTTGCTGGCTTTTGACAAATGCGTATTTCGATGGAGAACCTCTCTCGATCGACAAGGTTAGCAGTTCCAAACTTACTTTACCATTTCGCATACCCAAGACCTTCAATTTATTATTAGTGAATTTGAGGCCCAAATGCAGTACCTACCCTTAAAAGTGACGCCCAATTGGGTTGGGGTTGTGCTAACATTCCCATTATTTCCAAAGCGATAGCGTAGTTGTCTCTTAGGTCTGATAGTGATGTAACTCCTTTGGGATATTCTGGGAAAATGTGCGGAAGCGCTATCGTTACCCATGGGCTGGGGGATGACGAACGAGATCGAAATATTTCCAAATTGTCGACGTCTTTTCTAAACACCTAAGAGATTCAAATGAAAGTGTCAATTCGATGAAATGTCACCTACCTTGTATAAAATGTTAAGAGGAATGCCTCTCAGAAGTAGACATAGGAACAATTCTTGACACTTGGCGTGAATATCTCGAATAATTTTACTTTGAGAATTGAGAGAGAGCCCAATAATTTCGTCGGCGCAGTTACAAATGCACGGAAGAAGTTGACCAACACACAACAGTAGATTAGCAATATCTACTGCGAAGAGTTTGCTACGACATTCTGATGGCTTTGCCTGAAATAATAATTTACTGATCGGCATGTGCTCCCATACACACCTGCATGTATCTAACGGCCAGAATTGTTAACGATTCATTTAGCATACCCGCTAGTACCATCTGCGCCATTTTGGGTGGAACGGAATTCCAAAGATCTTGCTTGGTACCTTAAAAAATTGCATGTAACATCATAAAGTGCAAATTGTTACGTAGTGAAGCTTTCTAGTATTTATGATAATCTAACTAAGCGCTTTCAATGTTTTTGTCAAACTCAAAACCTCAAACAGTTGTGTCGATAAATAGTGGTTTGCTCGTAACTTTTGAAACACAAGGATACACCAAAAACAGCGTCCGAGAAGTTTTGCCTCATTTGAAAATTCAAACAAGTTTCGTTGTATCATTGGCAAGATTCCAATGTGCACGATCCTTCACTGAACAAGGATTGTAGCCCACCCAAATTCTGTACCATCACATTCAAAAAAGTTGGGAGGTGCCATTTTTTCATTTATGTAAAATTAAAGGTTTGAATCTTCAGAAAAAAATCATCGTAATTTTAATTCGTTAATTCTTAAAGAGTTCAACCTATAGACCGTTAAAGCGGTTTTGGCTTGCATGTATTCAGTAGAAATCTCCAAAAATCTACCTATCAAATTTTTGGAAAATCATCTCTCTAAAGTTTGCAGAAGTATCCTTTTGCACGTAAAAGAAAGGGTTCGAAGTGAATATTATTGCTACTATCTTTTTTTTTCAATAAATCATCACATAACATTGGTTATTCTTAGAATATTCTCTTAACATACTAGAAGGTATAAGAAAATAAACCAAATATCCATAAAATGTTCTATGAGTATATGTATACGTTCGTCTGGCATATTTCAAGCATATTAAGCAGTTAATATACTGAGAACAGACTATTATTAATACATCCCTTGATTCAAATTCAAGGGAAAAACATTAGAACTTTTTAAAAATGGCAGATTTCACTTTTTCCAATTATCTACGAATTATTTTTTTTCAAAATATTGCATCGAAATATCCATCAGCATCAAAAATTACACAACTTTGCCAATTTAACCGAATCTGTAAGTACAATAATAACAACAAAGATATCCATATTATCCTACTAAATTTAAGACACCCTGTATAAAGAAGATAAAGGTGGAAACATCCATCATATTGCAGCAAGCATCCCAGACATCGGGGCACCAGTAGCCGCCATCGAGGCGCTATTAAAGATTAGTCTCCGGTGATAAGGAACGAAAGCATATGTGACGCTTTCTTTCCGACCATATTGCGGGTGTTGGAGAATGTGTCCGTGAACTTTCTAGAAACATTCCGTTTGCTATATAAGCAAATTGAGTCGTGTTTAACGGAAGTTCTAACATCGATGCCGAAGCGATTATTAGAGACGTTATCGCTCATATTTGATAAATTTACATGTTATAAATTATATACAAGTGAATGATAAATAATATTTACATGATTAAAGTCAATTCATTTAAGGACTGGTATAAATTTATTGTTAATTAATTGCAAATAAATAAATCAAGTTACAATATGCCTTTTATAGTGTTACAAACCTCGAAAATATCTACAATAATGGGGTCATCCCGCCTTCATTTTTTATTTCTGATCCACAAAGTACATTAAAAATAAAAAGACCCGTGTGTCCTCAATTTTTATTTGCGAGTAAAATAAACCCAAAATAATTTATTGAAAAGCTGTGTTTTTAGTCCGAATTTGAAACGCTTCAGACTAAATACGTCACAAAATCTCACAAACCTACAACCAATCACGTAGAAGTGAGCTGGCAACCTTACGCGAGGGTCTGAAGTTTGTCACATTTGACGTTTTGAGAGGGATGTTTAACTGCATCTAGCACGAAAGTGACAAGTGCCTGTGACAGATGACGCAAGTTATAAATGCCATTCTCCTGCAATATTGCCAAGTCGTTATGTCATCTGAATGGTTCTAGGAGCTGATTGGTCGGGCTTATTACGTCACAGAGCCCGCCACAATCATATCGTTTTGAATAAACCTTTAAAACCGCACATGTTCATTATTTTTTTGCTAATCAGCCTCTATTTTTAAATAAACTTTTACTGTCCAAAAAAATGTTTTATGGTTTCAGGTACACGCTTATTAAATTAGAACTGCGGAATGCAACCATACTGTAAACCCCCGTTGTAGTGTCCTGAGTCCACTCTTATTTTTCTACCAATTTTAGAAATTGTAAATACGGCAGATGTTACCTTACGCTGAAACCAATGGAGTAGTTGAGGAAGTTGGTCTCTTTCAGGATAAATACAAAATTTCTCCAATTGTGAAATTAGGTAAGATGTATAGAAGCATAATGAATTAACTATGTCTTGGTGGAGAATCATGCTCCAAGAATGGCAGAAGGCACCCGAGACACTAGAACAGCTTCTACAAACCTATAAAAATACGAACTCAATTGAGAAACTAATTTCCTTACCTCCATTACTATGGAGACCATACTGCATAAGAGGAACGATTTCAATTAAAGGAATCAAAGAGTTGTATAGACCTTTGTAATCTAAACTTGGGTCTTTGAATATATTCAAAGCTTGGGTAGAGTCCTATACATAAGGAATCCATTTTGGTGTAATATAGGGAATGTGTTTCTGGTAAAACTGGACAAGGGCTGTAATTTTAAAATTTTGGAGGTTTTCACCTCCCAACAAAACTCTCCACTGTATGACAGTTCTAAACCATCTAAAATGTAATTTTTATGACCCGTTATCTTGTTCCCGAAATTTTCGAATTGTTTCTTTGCTCTTTTGAAACTTTTATATAACCCCATCCCGGAAACCCTGTATAACTACGTACTTAAATACTGTCTGAACTGTGAGTACAATAATTTCTCTCCATTTGTTTTAAAAGGGGAAAGTAGCGAATATTTTTGAAATCCCAATAGACATAGAGGCGCCATAAAAGATCAGTCATCGGCGATAAGAAACGAAAGCGGATGTGACCGTTTGTATTCATCGTGGTAAAGACGACGCATTCTTTCCGGGAAATATGACGTGTTTTGTTCGAGAACATTCTAGAATACTGGTTTGGAAGCGTTCGCACGTGAAAGTTATAGTTTGTACCAACCAACCAATTTATTTCGATGAGACCTTTTATTAGAATACCATGAAGGGCAGAACATGTGTTTCCCCCCCCCCCCCCCCCCCGTTTAACTTGGCAACACTAAAGGCATGCGTATGCAAAATCTGCGACCTATTGGTTGTCGTATATAAAAGCTATGCACTTTTTACTCTCAAAAACAGCACCTCAGGAAATAATTCGTGTGGGGGGGGGGGGCTTTTAGACAGCGAGATTTGATGCCCGTTTGGCACACCTTGAAGGTATAGGCCTGCTGAAAAAAATTCCAGGACTCTAGGGCCATTCCCCTAGAAGAACTTCGAAATGGCAGAAGTGGGTCCGGACGAACGGACGGACAAAACGCAAACAATAGAACATTTTTTTAATTCTTAAACAATGCGCTGAAAAAACAAAAGTTGCGCACAACGCCCGAATCGGGAAAAATACTTATGGGACAAATTTTTCATTTTTGAAGAAATTTGTTCGATAGACATTCTCACACAGATAAATACAGAATTTGACGAGAGCATCCCCAATTGTGTACTATATATAAACGTGGTATTGCTCAAAATATGGAGACGAAGAATAAACGGACAGACAAACTAAACGTACGAAAAATTCCCCTGAAAAAGAAATAATACACTTTTGACGGCTGTATTAAATCTCAGGTGACGCTTCGACGTTTTTGGTAACGATTGCGTTCACTCTTTTGGGAGTAACGGATGAGGAGATATACAAAGGTTCGTGTCGGCGACTTTGATTGACGTAGCGCGGCGAGAGAGATAGTGCAAGGGGGATTTCTGTCACTGTCACTCATTGGTAAACTGATCATTAATATAAAACATATCAAATAGGCTGCTCTATGATGCGCTGGAGTAGGACAGAGAGTCCCCTTGTGGCCCTCTCTCTCGGATCGCGCTGACCGACGGAGCGCAAGTTCCTGTAGGTATAATTATAGTTCAGTGGTCAACAGTAATTAGAACCTGTGGAGGAACCTACGCTATAAGCGAACGGAAGATGTTGGAGTACGTCCTACCAGGGAGTCTTCTTCCAAGGTTCGGCAGATATTTTAAAGTTTACCAGGTGAGTGACGCCGATGCCCCCTGATGAACACAAAAAGAAACCCAGAAGTGCTCGTGAGTTTCTGCGCCGAAAAAGGTGAGCAATTTTTAGTTTCATTTGTACCGGGAGACGATACTTGGGTCCTCTACTTCACGCCAGAACCTAAGGAACGATCAAAACAATGGCGGGCTTCCAGTTCTTCAACTATAAAAAAGTTCAAACTCCGTCAGCGGTGAAGATATAATTGCTTAATTGATATTCTGGAACAGGAAATATGTTCTGAAGCTAGAATGATCTGAAAAGAGGTACAACCAGATACGTATTAAGGACAAGTAAATCATCGCTAGAAGCCCGACAAATTTTGGCGCCCTTCCCCACCATATCGCCTCGCTTCTACCCGCCACCCCGCGTTTTTCTTTCTCTCTATCTTATTTTGCCACCCTAGTAAACTCAAAACTTTGGCGCCCCCGTGGAACTTAGCGCTCGAAGTTCTATGGATTTAAAGAGGCAAGGTACAGCGAAACATGAACACAGCTACACCAGGCTGTACAGAACAACACGAAGGGCGCAAAGGAGGTTCCTTTGCCCCATGACAATGCTCCACCCCCCTTGCCCAGACCACCGCGGACCAAAATTAGAGCAGATTAACCACCCTCCATACAGCCTTACTGATCTGGCCCCCACCAGTGACTACTCTGTGTCTTCCTCAACTTGAAACAACACTTGGAGGAATGAAATTCTCAAGAGACGAAGAGCTAAAGGCAGCTGTTGATTCTGGTGGATGAGTGATACGACGCGGGTATAAAAAAGCTTTCGAAGCCCAAAAGTTCATTGATCATGACGGAGACCCCAAAGATTTCAGAATGTTTTTTTGGTTGCACTAAAATGATGTTTACTATGTGAAAAAGCATTGGAGACCTATAATTTACGGACAACCCTCGTATATATTCTTGGAAAAGGCGGTGGGAATGCCGTTCCCGACCCACTACACCACTGGACGGCTTACAATACAGATAGCATATGCAACACAGCATACATCAGCCCTTGTTCAGCGATCCCAAACTGTTGCATTTTGTTTCCATTATATTTGTCTTTTTGGGTTGGCCTAATTTTTAATTTTATGGCGAGTTTTGTTATTTTGCGCTCATTAACAATATCAAAAATGTTTCATTTGAAAACTACCCCTTGGTTTATAGAAAAAAATATTGATAAAACTCCATATACTCTGTGTGATATTGATTCAGATGGAGAAGGCATGCACCAAATTAATTGCATTTTAGCTCAGTGACAGAATTCAGAAGTTTTTTTATTCAAATTCAAAAATGATAATATCTATTGTCAAATTCCTCAATTCTCTCATTGAGTGAACTTAAGAAACCTAAGTTACAACTGAAAAACTATACAACAAAAAACTCTTAAGCAGCAAGCAACAAAAATGTACTGTAAACCTTGCATATAAGTCCACCACATTTGAACAACATAAGACCCTCTTTCAGACTCAAAAAATGGCTTATGATTTTCCCAATCTAAGGATTCTGCATCTTGTAAGATGTAAAGTGAAATCAGTCGACAATGCATGTCCAATAATCTTTCAGCCAAAGCCTCTACCATCTCTTGAAACTGTTTATACATGCTTTGCAACGGATTCGAATAACCCTGCTTAATGGGACACCGCTGCACATAAAACCAAAGACTATTTTTAATCAAAGCTGCTGCACCCAGTGCGCCCATTAACACGGTCAAATCCGCGTGGTCTAAGGCTTCCTGAGTTAAAACATGAAGATGATCTAAAATTGGGTCAGATTATCGAAGGGTTGAGCAAAACCGGGCAAATACCCAGCAGTTGCTCGGATGATTTTCCAATCGACACCATGAATTTTTCGGGATCGGACTTCTTTACAATTGGTCCGCCCGTCTCCAAAGCTTCGACCGCACTTAGATCTTGGTTTGCTTTCGGAATCAATCCGGAGTTCTTACGGAAGCCCGCAAAGAACTCGTCCTCCCACCACAAGACCAATTTGACCGAGGCAAATGTGGCGAATCTGGGGAAATCGAGACGACCGCCCACGATTCCTGGACAAATAGTTTCTTGCAACACCGACTGCTTGTTCTAAAAATGAGGGTGGTCCAGCTTCTTGTACTAAGATCCATTACCTTGTAATATTCCAAGTCTCTTTGTAACAATATGTGGACTTTGTCCATTAAATTACCATCCTCCATTATCTCCATGATTAAAAAAGAGTTTTATAAATGAATACGTATAATTAAATTTAACTATAGGAACACTTTGAAAAATCTACTTTATCGTTGGTAATGTTAGCGAATTCTTCTTGTAATAATTGATGCAAAGTGCGACCGTCGTGCTTATAAATCCAACAATTATTAGTAGTATCAAAGTCGTAACGTTTCGGTCCAGAAGAAGGAGAGCTAAGCCAGATCTGTCGATTCGGCGTTTGCCTGTTGATTACATAAGTTCCGTGGGTGCCACCACAGTTAACAGTTAAAACTCCATCCTACAAACAAGTCCATTCTAACAAACGTATAAAGCTTTAATAACACTTACACTGTAAGCCACATCTGCCGATTTAAAGTTTTGTGAACTCTCTATAAGCTCCTCAATGTATTCGGTTAAGGAATCGAGGGTTTCATCACACACTCTTTCATACGTTACGTGATCAATAGTGGGTTTCGTACAGAAATACTCATGTCTAAATTGATTAAATAATTTGGTAACTATGGGAACTTCTGATGGTCTTCTAGATGCAGGAGGTAGTTTATTACAATGAGTAATTAAGTTTCGTGCAATGAGAACATTTAAATTATTTTTTAATTGTGTAACTCTCTTAACAGACTGCATTTTAATGTAAAACTTTACCAATTACACAGCCTAATTGTTCACATTCAAAACAAATAATGTGAGGTTAGATTGTAACAATGACATGCAGAAATTCAAATATACCATTTGTCATACAAGATTTTTTTTAATACATATAATTACTTATAGAATGATAGTCCAAGTATACACCGGACGAGATTGGTACAGACTAGCCGAATCAATAAACTTTTAGCTTGTTTAGTCTATAAAACAATTTGTATTCGCTTGGCAGCAATGATTTTAAATCAAACGCAGGTATTTCAGTGTCATAAAAACCACACTTCGTTTCTGTCGATCACATGATGAGTTCCAACACTTTTCTTTGAAAGGGTTCCGTTTTTTCCGTACTGATCAATTAGATAATTTGAGTGGGTCCAATGTAACTCCAGTTTGTCCACTACTCACTCTGCTGACTATAACAAATATCTATAGGGGGAAGGAGTGAACAAAATTGCACGCAGAAAGAGTGATTGATATGCATTGAAGGATAAAATAGAATTTTAAAAGACGTTTATGGAACTCCTGAAAGGGATTAAAAGGATTGTAGGGTTCGTGGAGGTGGTAAATAAATGTAAATGAACATCGTTGAATGCCCAAATCAGGCGTGACGGTGGCGTAAATGTTATGTGGAGCAACAGAAAAGGTGAGAGCGGGAGGCGGATGATTGAAACGTGAAAAGGATGTGAATAAGGTGTGAAGGCGCGTGAAATGGTTTTGAAAAGGAAGCTTTATTAAGATAACTTGAAGGAAGTGTAAAGAATGCGAATAAGATGTAAAGCAAGATTGAAAAGGCCAAAAGGGGCACAATAAATACACGAAGTAAGTGTGATAGAGATGTGAAGTAGGAGATAAAAAGGAACCCTTGTGGACGTTGTAGGATGCTGGAAGTGAACGTATGGGAAATATATAAAGGCACGGTGAAGGAGAAGGAAGTTTAGGAAATATATAGTTATTTAAACATTTCTTTATTAATTAGATATCAAATTATCCCCAGCAAATCTACCAAAATGTATTTACTCCTAGTTATTATGTTATCAAAAATCTCTAATCTCTACTCCTAGTTGTTATTTTTCGTCCCCCTGGCAACCCATTTCATAGCTATCTTGCCATCGCCACAAGAGCCCCCCCGCGGAGACTGGAGGTCAGGGCAGACGAAAACGAACATGGCGGCCGACCCGGGTCACATAGGGTTGTAGAGTCGAACTTGGTGGATGTGTGTTGGATGGTTTCGTAGCCGGTATGGAGCTTGGTGTAGTATCGACATCGAGAAGATACGCAGGTTTAACGCGATCCATACTCACACGCATTTCAGATCCTTTCTATCGGATGGTGACGGTCCTGGAATCTCTACGTAGGGTCCGGTATATGGAGGTTGAAGGGATCGTCGTACTGTGTCGTCCCTCAGGAAAACGTGGGAGCATGTTGCAAGGTCTTGAAAAACAAAAACCTTGGGTGTCGAATGGTGAGAAGCAGGAACTGGGCGAAGGTCAGCCATATACCGTCTCAAACGCACTACCAGTGGCGTATTTACGGGGGGGGATGAAGGGGATATATCCCCCCCCCCCCCAGAAGAATTGAGTTATCATCATAGCTATTAGGTATTTAGGTAATACTCCGCTATCCGCTCCGCCCACTTTAAAATAAAGGCAATAATATATAGGTATATATAGAGAGCAATTTTGGTTTTGGTTAAAGTCTAAAGTCACTAAAATCTAAATATTCTGTAGTATTCAGTATTCACTATTCAGTGAGTTATCAGTGTTGGCAGTCAACGATTTGGCTATTCGGCATCGATCGGCAATTCGCTACATTGATGCCCAAAATAACAAATATAGGTATCAGGTACTTAGTACTGCTACTGAGGTGAGGTACCTGCGTCCTGCCTTTCACGAAATGACGAAAAGAATTTTAAATATTAAAAACAGGATTTTTTTGCCCATAACTTTTGATTGAGACGTCTAATCGAAAAAGTACGAATCGTTTTGGATTCTACGCACCCAAAATAATAAGAAAAAGTTTTTTCCCGAGAAATTTTGGTGCAGTCGATTTTTGGGAAAAAAGGAAAGTAATACACTGCCTTTTTTTTGCCCAGAAAAAAAAATTGTCTCAGATCGACCGGGGAAAATTATTTTCGTATAGAATGTGGCCTGTAGAATCCATAATTTCAAACAGTTCCAAGATCGGACTACTAGATCAAAAGTTACAGCCCTTTGAATTTTTTGTCGAAATTGGTTTTTTGCCCATAACTTTTGATTGAGACGTCTAATCGAAAAAGTACGAATCGTTTTGGATTCTACGCACCGAAATTAATAAGAAAAAGTTTTTTCCCGAGAAATGTTGGTGCAGTGGATTTTTGGTAAAAAAGGAAGGTAATTTTTTGCCCAGAAAAAAAAATTGTCTCAGATCGACCGGAAAAAAAAATTTTCTTATAGAATGTGGCCTGTAGAATCCATAATTCCAAACAGTTCCAAGATTGGACTACTAGATCAAAAGTTACAGCCCTTTGAATTTTTTGTTGAAATTGGTTTTTTGCCCATAACTTTTGATTGAGACGTCTAATCGAAAAAGTACGAATCGTTTTGGATTCTACGCACCCAAATTAATAAGGATAGATAAATGACTACCAGCATCAGCAACCTGCAACCCAATTTCTATTTCATACCCCCCCCCCTCCCCCTTCTGGGTGACTGTATGTGCCACGAACTTGTTTAATCCCCCCCCCCCCCCCCCGAATACATTTCTACGTACGCCACTGCGCACTACGAAGCTAGATGCATCTTCTTGTCGCTCAGCTTCATTCTGGCGAGTTAGCATTTCACCAGGTAAACGAAGTGTCTGACCGTATACGATTTCTGCTATGGAATATGGATGCTTGTCAATCTTCCTTGAAAGCTGTGCGAATTCCAAGAAGTACCTACAATTGGAAGAGCTTCGAGCCAAGATTCACTATGATGACACATAAGCGCTGCTTTCAACTGTCTATGCAAACGTTCAACCATACCATTGGCACAGGGATGATAACTACAGGATCGAGATCTTTCTACCCCAAAAATATTATTAAGGGTTCTGAACAATGCAGACTCGAACTGGCTACCTATTTCATAGCTATCTTGCCATCGCCACAGAAGTATATATATGGTGGCGTATGGGAACCCAAATTTCCCTTATCTTTTTCCGTGAGATGTCCCATTCCAATATTCTTATTGACCACTTTTGTGTTCTGGCATCCTTTGGAGATGACCGTACCATTGTTACGTTTTATTTTATCCTGTGTGTTAAAGGTAAAATCCCATACACACTTAAATACATTCAGATAAATCGAAAAATACAAATTTATTTTATAATGCTGTAGATACACTGGCATTTAAATATATGTTACAACACTGCATTGAACTATGCGCTTGCGTCAGATATATTGACAAGACAAGGCAGCAGCGTGTATGTAGCCACAGCAACATATGCTTTCGTTGCACAAAATTTTGAAACGTGGTGGTGTGATTCCCACAAAAGGAATTAACCCCTTATTTATCTAATCGTCTACAGCCCTTTACTTAGGGCCAGAGATTCAATTTTACGCGTTAGAAATCCCGTACTGTCTAAAAGTAAGTTCTTCATTCAAAATCTATAACGGCCACAATTTTAAATTACAGCAGCTTTTGATCATGTCCAAACGTGTGCAACCGCAATGGACACCGCATCCGAATTCCAAAACACCCGTGTTAAAACTGTACAACAGTTTAACACGACAAAAGGAGGTTTTCGTGCCACAATCCGGCCGTAGAGTGAACTGGTACAGTTGCGGGCCTACGGTTTACGACTCATCGCATATGGGGCACGCCAGGTGTGTAAGTTTCATAAGGTAACCCCATAAGACTCTAGTATTACTGTTACAGGTCGTACATCACCTTCGACATCTTACGAAGGGTGTTGAGCGACTACTTCGGATACGACATATTTTACGTGATGAATATCACAGATATCGATGACAAAATAATTAAGCGTGCCCGTCAGCATCATTTATACGAGAAGTATGTTTTAGAAAACAAATCCCTTGAAGAGATTCTCGTTGATGCAAAAGAGGTATGTAAGTATATGTGCACTTTTTGTAATAGTGCTGTAAGGAATGGTGAAGAGACTGTGGCAAAGACAAACGATTCAGATAAACAGAAAATGATAACAAAGACAGTGAAAAGGTGTGTTGCATCATTTTTTTTTCGTTTCACTATCATATTTCGCAGGCTGACTGATTGTGTGGCACAGTTACAAAGTGCATTGAAAAATGGAGATAATAACGCGACTGAGTTAGCCTTAGATAATTTAATTCGGTATGGGAAGGATCCGATTTCCGAGTGGTTAGATGCGAAGAATGGCGCTTCTGTGACTGATAACGCAATCTTCAGTGCATTACCGAGATACTTTGAGGAAGAATTTCACAAGGATATGGATGCTTTAAATGTAAGCCGTCGATGATTGCGTGCACTTGTGAATCATTAGCCTTCAGGTGCTTCGTCCTCATGTGTTGACAAGGGTTAGCGAGTATATTCCGGAAATTGTCGAGTACATTCAGACAATTATAGCGAACGGTTTGGGGTATGAAGCGAATGGGTCTGTTTATTTTGATGTGGCCCAGTTTGATAGTAGAGAGAAGCATTTTTATGCAAAATTGGTTCCTGAAGCTTACGGTGATACTAACAGTTTGCAGGAGGGAGAAGGTGGGTTTATTTGTTCTGTTTTGTAATTGTGACTTGTGCTTATGGTAGTTTGTTATTCATTCTCTGCAATCTAATTGTTGTAGTAAGAAACTCTTATATAGTTAATTAAGGAATGGACAATGTTAAAAACACAAATTTTGAAGTATTGAATTTATCATAGGGTTAGTATATGAGGGGCAACTGAAAACTGCTTCCCCATCTAGGCACTAATTTTGTTAGAATTAAGTATCAAGTACAATGTTTTTAAGGCTACATTTCCCAATAAGGAAAGCTCCTCTATAGTCAAATGTTGATTTTGTAGTTTAACAAATGGTTGATACTGGATACTTATTCTTTACACTGATGAAAAGAACATTTGTACAGGGTTATTTCGTATATTTTGACAGTGAGAGATAGAAAAACCCTTTAAATACTACAGTTGTGGGGTTTATCAAAAATCGCCACAAAATGAAGAGTAAAAAAACATGATTGTTGTATAGCAAAGAAAGCAAATTTGGTAAATTTTTAATGGAATGCCCTGAAATGCTGCAAAAATTTGCATAGCTATCCAGGATCGTGAGCAGAAGCAGTAAAAAAATTGTCCGAAGACTGAGTGGAAGCTACATGGTTCTCAGAAACTGCTAAAGTTGCAAAAAATATTGGAAAATTTACATTAAAAAAATTAAAGCTATATGAATAACAAGTTAAAAAGTAATCGTAAATGATTTACATAAAGCGCATTTCCACTTGCATTCATTTCCCATTTGTAAGATGCAACTTCTGTTAAAATCGTAAAAATCCGGCCACAAATATGATAGATAGCGTTGCACATGGGCAATCCATTGTTGACGTGCTACTTCAATTTCAGTTTATGAGAAGAATTTCATATCAATGCTTTTCTAAATAAGAAAGTTGGAACTGCGCATGCGCAAACCTAAATTTGGAAACTAATGTTAGATTTTCCCTTGTTCCAAGCGCCAAAGTATCAAATTTCACTTAAATGCTTCCATAGATAAAAAAAGTTGGCACTGCGCATGGGCAAAATAAAATTTTGAAACTGGCGCTAGATTTTCCTTTATTCCAAGTGCCTATGTATCAAATTTCATTCAAATACTTTTATAAGAAAAAAAGTTTGCAATTTGGTTTATAAATGGTCGAGATGCGAAAAGGGCACTGTGAATTTTGAATCGATTCGACTCAACTTTTGGCATTGCGTATTATATGGCTAAGGCTATGCTCATATTGAATTTCATGCAATTCAGTTCATAACTAACGGAGATGTAAAAGCGATCGGACATTTCTAAACAAAATTATCGTTCACACGGACAGATAGGGGGACAGACAGGCAAAGGAACAGACGGACAGACCAACAGACAGACGACAGACAACAATACAAAATTATAAATGATCTCTAGGATGGTTAATAAACGGCAAAAGTGTAAAATTATGGAACATGTAAAAAACGGTTTGTTGGTTTTTTTACAATAACTTTTTTAGCAATAAACGCAGAAAAAATTCCTTCCTTGGTGCAAGCCTCGACATAACGAACCAAATAGCGAAAAAAGTAGAACAATAGCTCTTAAGATAAAGAACTAGTAGCGTCGCAAAACGAGCGGACGGACGGACGGACAAAGTGGACACAATAGTGCATTTTTTTTTTATTTTTGTGGAAATGCTCTAAAAAAAGGGATAATTTTGCAGCAATTGCGCACAAGAAAAATTAGGAAGAATTCACCAAAATTCAAAAAATTAGAGAATTAAAGATTAAAAACAAATTACAAACATACAAAGAATTAATAAAATCATTTGGGAAATACATAAATTCGCAAAATTAAACAATTTTCCACAATTTATTTGAACAGTACAGTTCTTTACTTACTAAGAAATAAGAAAAATCAAAAATTTTCAGCAAGTGCATACAAAAATTCCGAATTTCCGTAAAATTTTGAACATTAAGACATTTGGAATGTTTCTAAAAAATTAAACATTTTAAATAGGTACTAAAAAACAGAAAAAATAAATTTAAAAAGATAACAATTCGCTCACAAATTACAAAAATTTAAAGAATTCGGAGAAATTAAAGTAAATGTAAAACATTTAAACAAGGAAATGTTAAAAGAGAATTTTAAACATTCGCACAAAATGGTGGTGGAAATTCTAAAAAATCATAGTTTCAATTAGGAGAATTAAAATTTAAAAACAATTAGAAAAAAATTCAGCAAGAAATTAGAAGAATTCGAAAAAATCGGAGATTTGAGAATTTATGTAATTTGAAAAATTCATAAAATCATAAAAATTTGTGACGAGAAATAAATATTATAATAAATATACGTTCGGCAATCTTCGGCGCTTAATGCGGTCGAAAAACAAAACGAAGCGGTCACGTGACTTTTGCAGACCTTCGGAAGAAAATTTACCACGGCGCCGTCGTCCGAGTTACCTCTTCGCGGTAAACGGAAAAAGAAAGAGAAAACTTGCCCGCAGGTACGTACGCCGATTTCGACCTCGAATCTCTTCGCCGGAACGCGCTATTCAAAAACTCCGGTTTTTCTCCTCTCGCCTCCCTGGAGGGGGATGGTAGGGCGACCCCTCGTCTCGTAGATCTCTTCAAGATCTACAAACGCGCAATTGTACGTTTCGCTCTAACTCTAACGGTTCTGCCGGTTCGCCGGTAGAAGGCGTTCAAAGTTGGAAAATTCGAAAAACGACGTAATCGCGACCGGCACTCCGGGTCGCGCGGTTCCCAAACGTGCAGCCAGATATTTATCGCACCCCGGCACAAATACGCTCCTCCACGTCGGCCAAGATCTCAGAAAACCGGAAAAGGATCTATCGAGCAGTTTTCGAGTTACGAATTTTTTTCTAAAATTTTCGATTTTTTCGCTTCTTATGGCAGCTACCCCGACGGGTGGCGAAGGAATTTTCTTAACCCCACCGAAAGTCGCGCCAACTATCTAAACTCCCCGAACCGGCGTCCCGACGCCCTAACCCGAACCGTATAGCTACGGCAAATTTTTATCCGCGCACGCGCACCTCGACGACGATGCTCTCCAGCCGCCCGGCGAATTTTCCTAGGTACCAAATTCTCAGAATCGATCCGAAATCAAAATTATTCATTTATGTCAAATTCTAAAAATTAGGATAATTTTAAAAATTGCAAAATACGAAAAGTCCAAAAACTCTGACAAAATAAAAATCCACAATTTTAAAACATTGTTTAATTTCAAAATTTTGAAAAATTGAGAAAATTATAAAACAAACATGAAGAGATTAAAAAAATCGGAAGAAAGCATTAAACACATTTCACAAAGTATTTGGAGACGTTTAGTAATTAAACTCATCTTATAACTTCATTTTGTCGTTTTGAAGTAAACACAGTGGCGTACGTAGAAATTTATTCTTGGGGGGGGGGGGGGGATTAAACAAGTTCGTGGCACATACAGTCACCCAGTGCGTACTATTATATATATATTTATGGGCAAAAAACCAATTTTGACAAAAAATTCAAAAGGCTGTAACTTTTGATCTAGTAGTCCGATCTTGGAACTGTTTGAAATTATGGATTCTACAGGCCACATTCTATAAGAAAATATTTTTTTCCGGTCGATCTGAGACAATTTTTTTTTCTGGGCAAAAAAAAGGCAGTGTATTACCTTCCTTTTTTACCAAAAATCGACTGCACCAAAATTTCTCGGGAAAAAACTTTTTCTTATTAATTTGGGTGCGTAGAATCCAAAACGATTCGTACTTTTTCGATTAGACGTCTCAATCAAAAGTTATGGGCAAAAAAAATTCCTGTTTTTAAAATTTAAAATTACCTAAATACCTAAGGGGGGTATCCCCTTCATCCCCCCCCCCCCGTAAATACGCCACTGAGTAAACAGTTAAAACTAGAAACTAAATTTGGGATGGTGTCGGTTGCGAGTTACTAGACCAACTTCCGTCTCGATCACCTATACAAAAATGTGCTTCCGCTACCCCTGGTTTCTCTTTTCAAATAGTAAATTGTCATTTCAAAGTGAATCAAGTTTCATAAAACTTCCCCTTTTCGACTATTTCCTCCTCAGAGCCAGACATTTATATTTAAACGGTTCACAAACGGTTAAACAAAATAAAAATCGCGCAGAATATTGCAAACGTTACAATAAATTATTAATTAAAGTTATGAATTTTTCTTCGTTGACCTCTGACATTTTAATAATGGTTTCTCAAGTTCCTCTCAGACAAATTATCAGCAATGCTTTAAAATGTGTACAGTGTGAAAATCAAAAGGAAAGCGACGATGTTGCGCCGAAATGTGCTCCTGCACTTCGCACCCGGTTTTGTCATACACGTGCGTTAACTAAATTTCGTCTGATAAAAACTCCTTATCGCAAACGACCAGATGTCCCCACATTTAGCACACAATTTTACGTTTTACAATTAAATACACAAATCTCAATAAACCAACTCTGTGCTTATTCGTAAATAATGCCCTAAATTAACTTAACAAATTGAAATATAGTCATATACAGGGTGTCCCGTCACTATATTTCGTGTGTAGATCGAAATAGCTTCTACATGACGTTACACAACAGTATAATATGATATAAAACATATGAACTTGCGCTATACAGGGTGTTTACTTATTTGATTTACCTACATAGCAAACGGAAAGTTTCTACAAAGATCGCGGACATTCTCGAGAATTCCCGAATGTAGGTGTATCGCATTTCTCGGAAAGAACGCGTCAGATCTACTTTCGTTCCTTATAGCAATCTATTATGGCGGCTGTTGGCGCCCTGATGCCTGGGACACTCGCTACACTACAGTAGATAATTCAAGTGTCAAAACTTCCCTTTTAGAGTACCTATTTAAAACTTTGTACACCATTTTACTTTTGTAATTCAGTACTTTTACATCTATCTAATCTTTAGGTGACTTAACAACCATTGATCAACAAAATGAGAAACGGTCACCAAACGATTTTGCACTGTGGAAGAAGAGTAAAGCGGGCGAACCAGCTTGGGATTCACCTTGGGGGCGTGGCAGACCTGGTTGGCACATTGAGTGTTCGGCTATGGCATCTTCCATTTGCGGGCCGACACTTGATATACATACGGGAGGAGTCGATCTCAAATTTCCTCATCATGACAACGAAATTGCGCAAAGCGAGGTATTTTAGCGCAGTTTACAGATGAGGATTACTACAGTCTCAAATTGTAGGCGTATTTCGGGTCGCGTGAGTGGGTCAAGTACTTCCTTCATTCGGGTCATTTAACGATACAGGGTTGCAAAATGTCTAAGTCTTTAAAAAATTTCGTAACCATTCAGCAAGCCCTTTGCGAATATTCGGCCAGACAATTGAGGTTCGCATTCCTGCTACATTCCTGGCGAGACACCCTTGATTACAGTCCGAATACGATGGAGTGTGCTGTTCAGTATGAAAAATTATTCAATGTAGGTGTATGGGGTGGTTTTACATTGTAATGCCTTTTTTGTGATAGGAATTCTTTTTAAATGTTAAAGATGTCACTAGGAACATCACTCAAAGCACCTCCACTAAAACATTCACCAAATGGGATCAACAAGAGCTAGGGTTATCAACGAAATTCGCAGAGACAAAAGTTAACCTACACACAGCTCTTTGTGGTAAAGCACAACCTTGGCGTATTTGCTCGACGGTTGCCATTACAGTTTGTTCGTAGATAACATTGACACAAGGTCAGCTCTGGAAGCCCTACGGGAGTTAATAACCACAAGTAATTTGTACTTAAGAGATAATAAGCAACCAAATGGAGTATTATTACGGGATATAGCTTCATACATCACTTACATTTTGTCAGTATTTGGCGCCATAAATAAAGAAGACACCATTGGCTTTCCGATTTCCCAAACTGGACCATCGGGAGATGTTAGTATCTTTGACACGCCCACCTATTTCATTTTCTAATTCCAGGTGGAATCAATTATAATGCCCTACCTCAACATCATAGCCGAGTTTCGCGAGAATGTCAGAAACCATGCAATATCTCTCAAAGCGACAGACATTCTAAAAGAATGCGACAATCTTCGAGATGAAACGTTTCCAAACTTGGGAGTTCGCCTCGAAGACAAAGAAGGTTTGTTAAAAACATCTTATCCGCGCTTATCCAAAATTCTGCTAGGTGGCGGAAGTGCCGTGAAATTAGTCGATCGTGAAACACTGCTGAAAGAAAGGGAGGCAAAACGTCAAGCGGAAGCGGATAAGTCGGCCGAAAAGGAGAGGAAGAAATTGGAACAGGCTGCGGCACAAGCGGCGAAGGAGGCGCAAAAGCGTATTCCGCCGGCGGAAATGTTTCGGATGGAAATTGGGAAATACACTCAGTTTGATAACACTGTAATGTCCCCAATTAATTTGGCAAGGTCTCAAATTGTGCTTTTTAGGGCCTTCCAACGCATGACGCAGAAGGCAAAGAAATTAGTAAGGGGCAAGTGAAGAAGTTACTCAAGTTACAGCAAGCCCAGGAGAAGAGATATCAGGAATTTTTAGCATCACAATAACACATCCCTTTGTCTGACTTCATAACTTCCTCCCAGGGTCAGAAGTGACAATCGTGCAAGAGAAAGTAATTGTTTAATCAATTTGTAATGCTTAAATGATACGTCAGTATTCAATTGCTGCCTACCTAATTTGTAAATGAAACTGTAATTTATTTAATCTTCAACTAATTAAATGTAAATTACTAGAGCGATCTATTATTTTAAAATGAGAGTTGAAATGGTACCGATTGTTGAACAAACCAGATGCTTCACAGGCTGAATTTACTCTGAATAAAGCGTAGTATTTTTGCTCAAATGAAACAAATTTATAACAGTTCTTCTTTACCTCGAATAAATTGTAATTTTGTGTCTTACTGTAATGTTGGTTGCATACCGCTGACTTTGTTACAAAAGTTCGCATTTACAGTAAAAGCAATGTAGCCAGTTTTCCTACCTAAATTCGTCTGGTTTATTTATTATTGGTTAAATTGCTCTTGCCTATAGCCTATTTGTATTATGTTAGAGATCGTTTGAAAACTAATTAACCAGGCGTGGAAAACAATTTTGTAACGAATGCGAATTTAGGGATGGACAGTACATACAGAACGGAGTATGTAAAGTTTCCTATTGACAGTCGCCAAATTTGGCCATTTATAATTTTAATATGTGATTGATGGCAGAAACATATACTTGAGATAAGTTCGTAAACTTAAATTCTAGGCAATAACACCAGGAAAATTTATTTCCTTTTTTATTTTCCAAAATATGGCACCCTAACAGCCCTCGACGTTACCCTTAAAAAAAGATTATTTTAAAACATTTTAGTAAACCCCGGCGTTATTGTCTAATAATAATAATAATACTTTATTGCTCAAACAGAAAACATTCCAATAATAGAGCAACAATACACTATTTACAAGAGTGAAAAAAAAAAATTATATAACTAAAATAGTATACTTAAGTAAAGTAGGTAATATTATAAACATACAAAATTTGTAAAAACGCAAGAAAGATAATTAAATTCGATTAAATTGCGCAACATAAACCAAAAATATATATAAATTATATTAAACGTGCAAATGAACAACAGAGATATACAAGAGTTATACAAGAGATATAAGTAATAGGAGTTACGGAAGAAAAAAATAAAATAAAAAATAAAAATAATAAGTAATAATTATCTTGGAGAACTATTGAGCTTAGTAATGAGTTGGCGAAGTATTTCCGGTAGAGAGGTATGTTGTATATCACAATCCTGGCAGACCATACTAAAATTGCGAGACATGATTAATGTAGGGGCTTTACACAATATATTAGTTCTCGGAGTGCGGTAAGTGAAAGTTAGTGTAAGCCTACTGTTGCGCTGAGGAACAGAAAAGTTTAGGTGTGCAAGGAGATTAGGAGAGTCTACAATATTGTGCAATAAGCCAAATAAAAACTTAACACGGCATTCCATCGACTGGACAGTACCTACCTATACCGGGATAGGAGAGATTGGTGTGGAAAGCCTCTTTCAGGATACGCACCATCAAGCTTAAAAGAAACGTACTTCAAGAATCTGCGTTGTACTTGTTCAATAAGCTTTTTTTGCACATCGTACTGCGGGTACCAAACTATATCGCAATATTCTAATTTGGGTCTCACTAACGTAAAGTACAGGCGAAACAAAACCTGTGTATCTGTAAAAGATTTTGAATTTCTTATAATAAAACCTAATGTTTTAGATGCCGACGCACATACAGATTTGACATGTTCAGAAAATTGTAACTTCGAGTCAAAGATAACTCCAAGATCTTTTACTAATGAAGATCTAGACAAAGTAGTAAGTATCATTAATCGCGTATTGGTATAAAATGGGTTTGCGTTTTCTGCTGTACGTCACTACCTTACATTTGGGTAGGTATATTTAAACTGAGGGAATTGAGTTCACACCAACTATAAACCGAATTAATTTGCTGCTGTAAGGAAATACAATCGCCGATATTAGATATTTGTGTATATATTTTCAAATCGTCAGCAAAAAGGAGATGGGGTGTAGAGATTGAGTCCGAAATGTTGTTTATAAATAGGAGAAATAAAAGAGGGCCCAGATTAGACCCCTGGGGTACCCCAGAGGATGCAATGAATGGATCAGACATGAATCCATTAAACGCGACAAATTGATGCCTGTTAGATAAATACGACGAAAAGAAATTTAAGAGCGAATCAGATAAACCAAAAAGTTCTAACTTCCTAATTATAATTTGGTGATCGATTGAATTGAACGCTTTTGCAAAATCTGTATAAATTACATCGACTTGACCGTGATTGTCTAGCACGCGCGTCGTGTAGTCAGTGAAACAAGTCAAGTTAGTCATAGTGGATCGCTTTTGTACAAACCCATGCTGTGATTGGGTGAGATAATGTATTTTACACATGAGTATATACAATTGTGCATAACTATTTCAAATATTTTTGCAAAAGTATTCAAGATACTAGTAGGTCTGTAATTTCAAACCATAGATCTATCGCCAGTTTTATGTATAGGGCAAATTATAGCTGTTTTCCAGACCTCTGGGAACTTACATGTTTTGAGTGATAGATTAAAAATACAGCAAAGAGGTCTGACTAATAATTCCTTAAAACATTTGACGATATTGACGGGAATGCCGTCATGACCAGAGGTATGTTTATCCTTTAGTTTGATAATAGCATCAAGTACCATGGATTCAGTGACCTGAGAAAGGTCTAGCTAAAGCATTCACCTTTCACAGGGATATTCGACCCCTTCTTGATCTTCACTCAGAATTCAGATATTGTGGAACGAAATCAAGCGCCCTGCCACCCCCGGGAAAAAACTTCACCGCCTACCCAGACCCGCGACGGTATATAGAGCGAGAATGGTGCCGTCCTGCAAGTGGTCGTGGCGACGAAGGCAAAAAGTGCGTGCTTTGACCAAACTTAAGGAGCAATTGCGAGCAGCGAGCAAGAATAGAGATTTTGTGAGGCCTGGGTCCTGATTTTTCACACCCGATTCTATTGGATTGCGGGAGTGGAGGTGAAAAGGTTCGCTTAGGGATTGGTATTTGCGTACCAGTACATTTTTCTTTAGTCTGCGGGGGAAGGATGGTTTTCTGAGAGAATGTGCATTTCGTTTAATTGCGGAAAAGAAGTCCGCCCGCCCACCCTTTGTGAGCTTAAGGTTGTAACCAACCCCCCACCCAGCGAGACCACAGGTAAGGGAACCCACATTCTACCAACCGTACCCCCAAAAATTAGCGGAGAAACCTTCTTTTATATGGAACGTTTTAGGATATGCGGTTATTTTAGGCAAGTGATTGTCAATAGTAGGAGAGCTGGTAGACATTGTTGGGTAGGTATTTTAGGCACGCTGAAAACTTGTCCAGTACTTCTCCAATAATACCCAAACACATGCGTTACGGGGTGGCACGAAAGAATACATTATGCAGGATAATATCTAGCTAGCCGGTGAGCGTTTTGTGGACTTCGTGGCGGAACCTAAACAAATGCTCACATTGCGGTATGCCAGTCTACCGTATGTGCCTCATCTGGGGAGAAATGCGAACAAGGGTTTATATGCGTCCATAGCGGCCTCCAGAATTCGGTTCGGAGAGAGAGACCACGGGGGGTAACCGAGACAAACATACTGATTAGGCTCGGCGGAAGGCCAGGGAAACCACCAGCGAATCTTTCCCCAGACCTTTACAATGGAAATAGCGTGTTTTAGATCATCAGGTGGGTAGGGCCATTCTGGACCATTGGGTCCGAAATCCCACACTGCTGTGCAGTCCGCCCTACGGATTCTGGGAAGGGCACAAAACGCCTAAGGAGCACCTTCTACGAGTAGGAGCAGAGCATGGAATGTGAGGAGTTTAAGGAGGGTGGGTAGAATAGAAAACTTAAAAAGGGAGATAGTAAGTTTAGGTTTAGATATTGTAGGGGTAAGTAAAATTAAGTAGAAAGAGCAAGGTGACTTTTGGTCAGGAGTAGGGAATGCAATCCCGCAGCAAAATCTCAATCCCGGTATTTGCGGGATCGTTAGATGTTAATCCCGCAAAATTTTAAATAAAATTGCCAAATAGGTAAGCAATTTTGTGCGGTTAACTTCTGTATTAAATAAATCGCTTATTATCACAATGTTCAACAAAAAAGTACCTTCAGCCTAACTTAGAACTCAAAAAAAAACCTTACCTGTAAAGCACAAAAATCATAACAAATTTCTAACGAAAAAGTGTAACAATTATTTTGAAAATAACTTCTTCGTTACGCGTTTCATTAATAAAATCGTCCCCTTGGTCGACAAATGCCTCAATCCCACAAATCTCGCGGGATCCCGCTCCATTTAAGTACGGGAGTCGGGATTAATCCCGCAAAAATGCTGCGGGATCCCGGTATTTCGGGATCCCGCGATGTCGGTATTACATTCCCTAGTCAGGAGAGTAGGTACAGATGGTACACTCAGGTACAGAGAAAGATCACACAGGGGTAGGATTTGTGTTACACAACAAGTTAGGCAGTAGAATTAAACCCTGCAGGATACTAAGTGATAGGCTCATTGTAGGATATATACGTGCATAATGCTGGGAGGTAACCAAATAGACTACATCTTAGTGAAAGAGAGATATAGAAACAAAGGTAGGTAATTAACAGCAAAAGCTACCCTCTAGTGCGGATATAGCTAGTGACCACAATTTAGCAGGTTTAAGTTTAAAAAGTTGGCCACACCGAAGAAAGAAGGCAGGGTAGATTTAGAAAAGTTAAAAGTGCTAGAGTTTCTAGAATCTAGGTAGGTTTAAGGTCGAAAGCGACAAGATTATAGATAATAGTAGAGAAACGAACCAAATAGAAGAGGTTTGGCCATCAGGATTAGATCAGGACTGATGAGGAAGGTAGTTGGAGAAGGGGTAGAAACAAGGATAACCAGAAAAGAATGGGTCACAGAAGAAATTTTAGAACTAATGGACGAAAGGAGGAAACATAAAAATGCAGCACCACCAAGTCAGCATGGTAGGGATAATAAGTATTATGTAGAGTGGTGTTAGAAAGGCATTAATATACAAGAAGAATAAAATGATTTTTCATTCATTCACATGTACCTAATTGATATTCTGTTTTTCTCAATTTAACAACTTGATATTATTTTAAAAACTGAACTAATAACAAATAATCTTGCAGTCTAGCTGGTGGTCGCTTTTGTCTTGATTGCTTT